ACAAGTGGCACTCAATATATGTCTGAAAACCTTATTTTAATATGGTAGTTTAATTCAATTTTTTTTAGAAGAAGTACGATATTCATTGAAGATTGAAACACGTACAATTCGAGGATAGGGTGTTTACATTGGGCCTCAATAAAAACCTTGTCGGGGCTTTCAACCCGAACGAAGGGAAAAAGAATGTCTCACACCAAAATTAACTACTAGTACTATCATTTAATAACAAATCGGAAATTACATTAGGAGGTTCTTCGAACCAAGAAACTAGGTGATCAACAGTTAGACTAAACCTCGCAAGGCGATGAGCCACCTTAGTCATTTCTCTACGACTAAATGTGATTTTCCATTGCTTGAAATCTTGCAGGAGCCACCTTGTATCCTCAAACATATGCCCGTAATGACCACTATACACTGCACTTGCATTTTGAATTGTAGAAATAACCATCAATGCATCCCCTTCCACCTGGACCTGTTGTAACATTCCACATAGACCAACAGAAAAGGGGTGATCTACCTTATATGTACATGCCCACCTTCATATAGCACAAGGCCTTTTGAGAACTCATTGGCTTCAGGTTCCATCGAAACTCCGAAGTTAAGCGAGTTCGGGCCTAAGATGGGTGACCCACTGGGAGGTTCTCGCGTGAGTTCCCAAAAACAAAACCGTGAGGGCGTGGCCGGGACCTAAAGCAAACAATATCATGCTACGGTGGAGTCGAGACTGGGATGTGACAATTTGGTATCAGAGTTACTTTGCCGTGTGGTGCGAGTGTGCCGATGAGGACATCGGGCCCCTAAGAGGGGTGGATTGTAACATCCCACATTGACCAACGGAGAGGGGGTGATGTGCCTTATATGTATATACCCACCTCCATATAACACGAGGCCTTTTGGGAACTTATTGGCTTTAGGTTCCATTGGAACTCCGAAGTTAAGCAAGTTCAGGCGAGAACATTCCTAGGATGGGTGAACTACTGGGAAGTTCTCGCATGAGTTCCCAAAAACAAAATCGTGAGGGTGTGGCCGGGACCCAAAGTGGACAATATCGTGCTACGGCGGAGTCGAGACTAGGATGTAACACCTGTTCCATGACCCATCTGCGCAAGAACATCGCTGCTACTCGTGCAGCAGCAGCTTCTGTGTGTAGTGCTGATCGTATGCCGACCTCCCTGCTCACCTATGCCGTTAGAAACCTTCCTTCCAAGTTTCTAACTACCATCCCACAACCTTCAATCGACCTCTTCTCATCCCATGCTGCATCAATATTACACTTTAGCCACCTATAAGTCAAAGACGACCATTTATATATTCTTGCCAAGGAGTTTTGCGATGCAGCATCATTCCATTTTTTAAATTCAGCCAGCCACATTTGTGCTTTGATTTGGGTATCCAACGAAGAATATCAACACCATTCCAAATAAAATCATTACATACCTTCCAAATACTCCAAACAAAGACAAGTAGCAGCTCAAAACTCTCCGGAGATACATTATGTGCCATATACTGCAGCCATCCTCCAAATCCCTCCTCAATTAATCATATTAAATCAATTAAAATAATAAATTGTTGAGGGGGGCTAAAAAAATAACCCCCTTCAGTTGGAGATGAGTTTTTTTGTCAAAGGGCTATGTTTTGGCCTATGGCCCTTTGGTCCCCTCGGTTAGAGATGGTATAAAATATGGTATGATACTATTCATTAAAAAAATTCTATACGGCTATAGGGCTAAACATGGCCCTTTGGCCCTCTTTCGGTTGGAGATGACCTAATTCACCCTCATTCTAGCTTATCGATAAGATTAAGGATGCTCCCCAAGACTCTTATAAATAAAGATCATGACCCCTAAAGCTTAGGATGTTCATCAAATTCAATCTCTACAATTACAAGCTTGAAGTGATTCTTCAATCAATCCCTCAACTACTTTTGAGCAAAACTCAAAAGCTTCTCAGCTCAACCCAAAGCCTTCTTCAAAGCTTTTGTGCGTATAACCCATGAGCTCTAAAACATACACAACTATGCTATCTTGTATTATGATTTGGTTGATGATCATTCCAACCACCCCTAATCACTTCTATGAGGTCATGTACCTTCTTTGTAAAGTTTGATACCATCGTTATCGATGGACTCTTTTTGCATTATTCTTACTAGTTTTATTACTTCCTTACATTTTGAAGTGTATTTACTTTCTAGTATTTTAAGTTATGTACAATGTCTCATCATTTCACGAGTTTCGATTAAACGTTTGTAGTCTTGCTTTAACAATGAAATGATTACCTTTAGTTTTTCCTTTCCATTTTCTCTTCTATTTACTTTTCAGGCAAACATACCACAGTAGATTTCAAGCTTAAATCTCCAAAATATATAATCATTGTATGTTGGCAGCCTCCAATTGTGGTACACCTATTTTGTTACTTTCTCTCAAGCCATCTCTTGCCACTGAGAATGAAAGCACGCTCGAGACAAATCATGTGGTGACCTAAGTTAGGCTCTGTCTAATTTTTAACACCAATAGATAGGGAAAGGTGGGGGTTGCACTTGCAGATTGTGTTTGCCTATGTGATGTTCTCTTAATTTTATTTTGTGCCACCATTATATCACATTTTTGCAGTAGGGAGTGGAACATTTATAACCTAGTTAATTCTCCTTTTTTTTTTTCCCTTTTGTTGAGAATGGGTTTTACATTGGGGGGAAATGGGTATATGCTTATGAGTTCCACTTACTTTTCTTTACTGTTCTTCGTAGAAATTTACCCCATTCCTGTCTTACATCAGAGTCCTCCACTTGTAAGGAACTCGACCTCGAGTTCTCCTTAAAATGATCTTGGTAGCTAGTAGACAAGTCCCTTGTTAAGCAAATAAATTCTTCAACTTGAGAAGCTGAACTTTTAGTGCACTTAGGTGGGATAATCATGAAATTAATTTCATAAACAAGATTAAAATATACCAAACGATAATCAAAATATTTTTCCTTCCCCAAATTTTTTTTGGCCAACAATAGAATTTAACTCCAATTTATTAGATTGTTGATTCTCCAAAGGCATAACAAATTAAGAATCACCCATTTCTTGAGTATCCATGTAACAACCTGTCCCTAATTTTATGGTTTTTATAATTTTAATGGTGTGAATTGATGAAAATGCCCCTTGAGGCGAGATTGTTGACTTTTGTTGACCGTCATTTTGTGGCACGTATGAGCTATTATTTTATCGTATTTTCGGAGTACGTGACAATACGAATACGTAGGTGAAAATATAATACTATAATATAATACCTCCGAACTCAAACTTTCATTCTCCTTCCGTACAATACTATAATATAATATCTTTATAAAAACATAGTCAAATATATATATATATATATGTATATATACATATATAATAACATCACGCCAAATATAAATATATAATAACATAAAGTTAAAATAATTGTACTGAAATTAAAATTAAACATAAAAGAATTTTCACCTATGTATTTGAAACGTCACGGACTTTGAGAATACAATAAAATAATAGCTCATACGCATCATGAAATGATGGTCAACAGAAGTCAACAATCTCACCTCAAGGGGCATTTTCGTCAATTTACACCATCAAAATTATAAAAATCGTAAAATTAGGGACAAGTTGTTACACTCCACTTGTGGGAAATCATTCTCAACAAGCAACATTTCTTGTTCTTTTTCTTCCCCCCTTGACATCCACCGTTTCTTGGCAAAATGAAATTTTAGTCTCCATCAGCGTAGCTTCTTTTCTAATGATTGATTGGCCCATCCTGTAGAAATCAGGAAAGAATTTCTTAACAAATAGTCGCTCCCACCAAAAACGCACATCACCATCTAAATGAGAAGCAACCATCTTCACCATCTTCCTTTCTGTAATTGGTCATGTCTTGAAAAGTTCTTCTACATCCTCAACCCACAAGAGAAACCTTCAATATAATCACTTCCAAGGAAAATAGAAATATCTTCAACATCAACTAGGAATATCTTTAACCTTGAATAGATAATCGAAGGGTGTTTGACATGAAGGACAATTAGCATTATGGTTTGCATTCCTCTTCACTTGTAAGTACGATATCTCATATTCGACTCCCATGAATGGTGAGTCAAAAATTTCATCTTTAAATATTGTTGTAACTGAGAGATCTCATATTCGACCCTAGCCACCTCTCTTCTTTCTTTCTTGCTCAAAATCAAAGAATCTCACTTGTCCCATATCTGTGGACCCCTTTCCTTTGGTTTCTTATTCTCCAAGCTACAATGTAGTAGTGCTTTATTTAGGGTTTTTAGTAAATATAAATCAGATGGTTCCATCGACAAGTTCAAAGCAATGCTAGTTACAAAATAGTTTTGCTAACAAGAAGAAATTGATTTCCACGACACTCTCAATCTAGTAACTAAGACAATAAGCAAAAGACTTGTTATCTCATTGTTTGGTTGCCCGGTTTCCAACTGATTTCAATTTCTAAGGGAGAAATGAAATTATGGATAACAAACGGACCAAGTTCTAAATCTACCTCCATAGGTCATGAAGAACAAACATACCAAATCTTAAATCCTTATATTTGTATGTGAAGTTGTGTTATGTACGGGTGGGCAAACAGGTATTGAACCCGTGGGTAGGGACGTGTACTAATGGTTCGGGGGGGGGGGGGGGGGTGGTCCATGTTTTTTTATATCACAACGGGGCATGATAGGCTGTGTCTAAGTAAAAAGCGGGGTGGAGTGGTTCCTAATTCCTGGAGACACAGGCCCCCGGCCCGAACAGTACCTAGTGTCTTTTGGTGGAGATTACAATCATTACATTTATGCCGTTCAAATCTCATACACAGATGTATGATAACAGTCTAGGGCCGAACTTTCTACTCCTCCCTCGATCTCTCCTCCTTGAATCTCTTTTCATCTCTTGAGTCATCGACGACAACCTAGACTTCAAATCTAGAAAAGCAAAAAACGAAAAAAAAAAAAAAAAGAGCAGAAAAAGACCCAACAGAAAAGCAGGAAAAAAACACGGATCTTTATTCACCCATTCTTCAAATCCAGAAAACCCAATTGAAAATAAAACCCAAATAGATCCAGTTCTCCCATCAGATCTCAGAAATTAGACAAATTGAAAAAACACATTCTTCAAATCCAGCAGGTCTCAATCTCATTGGCGACATGGAGGATTTGAGCTTGAAGGCGAGAGCGGAGGGGATGACCTTTTTGTCGAAGACCTTCCGTGGAGAAAGTGGTGGTCCGGTTCCTGAAACGACCGAGAAAGTTAATTCTCACAAAAGAAAAACTCCAAAATCCAATTTTCCCATAAAATCAAAGAGTACCACAATGAAGCATGAAAAATGAAGTCACATCATTCTCCGAAAAGGAACAAAATTTCACAACATTACCTCACCAGAGAAAAACCCAAATTACAGAAATTAGATTTGCACAACATAAATCAGTGTTTTTCTAATTAAAAGAAAAAAACCCACTGACCCAATTTCATTCCCAAATGCATGAATGTCTTTCCTTAGAAAATAAAACAAAGTTCCAACAATTTTCTTTTAAAGAAGAAGAATGACTGAGAGGTCTGCCTGAATAAAGAGTATCGGATACATACATATATATATATATATACATACATATATATATATATATATGTAGAGAGAGAGAGGGAGAGAATCCGATCTGAATCACAGAGAGAGTTTTGGGTTGAAGAGATTGTTGTTTGCTTGAGTGTTGAGGTTGGAATCATCAGCAGTACTCACACATACCAACTGTATCTATTGTTAAATGTATCCAATTTGCAGAAAGAACAAAACTAAAAAAACGCAGTTGTAAGAGACATAGAAGAGAGAGAGACAGAGAGAAAGAGAACTGGAAGTCTGGAATGATCGAGAAAGTTAAAGAAGAAGAGGAAAAAAAAAAAAAAGACAAGAGGATGTCACATCCCCGCTCGAGGCGGATCACTTCCCGGGCCCGCTCCACCACCGTAGCACGATATTGTCCGCTTTGGGCTTACCATTCCCTCACGGTTTTGTTTTTGGGAACTCACAAGCAACTTCCTAGTGGATCACCCATCATGAGATTGCTCTAGCCCCCTTCTCACTTAACTTCGGAGTTCCTACAGAACCCGAAGCCAGTGAGCTCCGAAAAGGCCTCGTGCTAGGTAGGGATGGGAATATACATTTAAGGATCACTCCTCTGGACGATGTGGGATGTCACAAGGACCTATGGACCCGGCCTGAACCGGCCCGTTTGAAACGGGCCGGATTAGGTACGGTTCCTGTATTAAAATTTGTTATACCCGCCCGATCTGATCTGTTTCTTTTAAATCTGGATCCTGTCCGGTCCGTTCAAAATTGGGTCTGGCCTGGCTCGTGCCCAACCCATAGTGTTATGTGTCATTTCCATACCAAATAAACTCCTTTATAACATGTATATACTATTTAGAGAGTGTGTACACTAAATGTTTTTATGTCTAGCAATAATACAAGAGCATAACGTTATTAATTACGTTACATAAGTGGTGGAAATGTTAATAGTTGAAAGACCTAAAATGTTATATGACTAATAAGAAAAAAAATACAAGTATTTAAACTACAGAGTAATAGAATCCTATTTATCAAAGAGTGAAAAAAGCTATTTAGTCTTCTATTACAATAAAAAGGTTAAGCATAGTAATGCAATTTCACAAAACAAATTTTTTTATATTTAAACATCACTTACATGAATTTTAGTATCACTAATTTAAAAAATAAAATAAAATAAAATAAAATAAACCCCTCACTCCATACACACGTTTTATTCCACTCTCTTCTTCTCTCATCCAATTTTAAAAACAAAAATAAAAAATTTATACACTAATAAAAATATAAATAACTTAATAATACTAAGTAACGGTGCAATCAATTTTAGATAAGATATTTTGTTACAGTACAACACAGGTTTAGTTCCCATGACAGGAAAATATTAAAAAGAAGAAAGGAAGAAGACAAGAGGAAGTTTCACGAGAGAGAGAAACTTGGCAGTTGCTCTGCTGCTGCTACTTCCATAACTGCCTTTCAGTTTCTCAGGCAACATCAACAACAACAAGAGCCGATTCTCGAGAGAGAGAGAGATCGATCCTTTTACAGAGACGGAATGAGCAGCGACAAGTCTCCGAATCCAATCGCTGCTTCTGCTGCAGCATCTCCCACAAATGCATCCAGTAATACTACCACTGGCGGTGGTGGCTCTGCTGCCGTTGCTAATGCTAACGTAAGCCTTCATCCCGGCGTTGAATCCTGTAAGGGCATCAATGGCCTTGACAAGCTCGTCCTCCATGATCCACGAGGCAGTTCTGCTGAGGTATTCCCCTCTGAAACGACGTCCTTCTCCCTTATATCCCTCTTTCCTTCGTTTTGGCTTTGCTTTTTCTTTTTTGTTTGATCGAGATCTGATGCTTGCTTGATTTCATTTTCTGTTTGAGAATTAGAAATGGAATTGTTCGATTGGTTTCAATATCTTGTTTGTTTATTTGGACTTCGATCCCGTTTGGTGAATCTAGGGTTTCTTGATTTGCTGCGTTCCGATTTGTTCGATCTGCTTGGGTGGAGTTCTTGAGTAATGAGGTGATGAGGAAATCACGAGTGATTGATTTTTTTTTTATTTGTTTATCAGGCTAATTTTAATCTTGAACGAATTGTTTTAAGGGCAAACAATGGGTTTTTCCACGGTTTCGGAGTGAGAACTTAAAGAGCAGGAATCTGTTTATTAGTTACTACCATGAAATTTCCTTGTACAAACCTAAGCTTGCCTCATCATTTACCCTTTGGAGGATTGAGAAGTGATAAGAGTAGAAACCGGTTAAGTTTATTCGTAATTTCCCATATTTGTACAAATTTGGAGGATCGAGAAGTGTCTGCAGTTTTATTAATTTTACTGTTTTTTCATATTAGAAACTAGTTGTTGCGGTCGAATCTGGACAAAAATTCATATCATGGAAGGACTAAACTCATAATTTCCTTTCAGAGTGTAATTCAAGTCTGATTGATGAGGAACAGTATGTCCACCAATAGCAATAGGATCTTTCCAAAGGTTTTGAAGTTCATGGAGTATTAACTAATCTGCTATGACGCTTTTTTTTTTTCCTTGCTAAATAGATATTTATAAGTAGATGCACAAGGTTCAGTCATTTCAATTGGAAGGACATTAAGATGAGTATCTAATATGAGAAAGTTACTGGTGTTATGTTGTGTACATTACCAGATTCGTTATCAAATCGAATATTTTTTTTTACCTTAAAAACACTCAAATAATTTTGATTTTGCCTGTTCACGGGATAAGTATCTAATGTGATTTCGTACTTAGTGTTTGTTAATTAATCTGATAAGTGCGATAGTCTATTAATGTTTCTGACATTAGCCTACTGTGTATTGCCTATGTAGAATGCCAATTTGGTTCACTTCTCTCCTTTGATGATACTTGAATTTGGATACAATTACTTGAGTGCATGCTAATGCTTTATTTTTCATTTACCGCCTGATGATTATTTTCTTGATGCTAGTCTTGCTCTTGCTAGATTTATACACTAATATATCAATTGGTATTGCACCCTGAGTTATTATTGGTCTGCATAGTTTCACTTTCTATGTTTGTTTTGTTTTAGAATGTAATTTCAGGCTTCAGAAGCATATTTCCAAGGCTGATTACAGTGGCCTTTCAACTTCTGTTGCCTTATAGTTATTTGTTTTTGGGCTTTTCAGGTGTATTTGTATGGGGCTCATGTAACTTCATGGAAGAATGATCATGGAGAGGAATTGCTGTTTGTTAGCAGTAAGGTGCTATGCAGCAATTTTTGTTAATTCTTTTTATTTATTATTTTTTTAGGTGTAAATTCTCTTGATTTTTCCAATGGACATCACTGAAGGAATTTCCATTTCTTTTTTTTGTTTCTTTACGGTGTTGTGTATTATCTTTAATGGGGATTCTTTTTACACATTTTATTTTTCTTGTTCATACTTTAGAAAATGTTTTTAAGCATTGTATACATGTATCATAGCACCTTATACGATTATTTTGGATGAAAAACTGCTAATATGATATGTATGCATTAAATGGATGGGAGCTTATTGTATTGTGATAACAAACCTTTGAGAAGGATGTAGTGCATGTTGGCATTGTGGTACTGCATTATGTGTGGTGAGCAGTGTCGGCATACACCATTATAAAGTTATGTCATCCAAATTTTTGCTTATCAACTCAGTTTGTTTCTTATTCTTTTAGTTTTAAGTGGGCTCTAAGATTTGGTCAGGTTGCTTTTATGACCGTTCTGTGCTCCTGGGAGGATAATTAGGATGTTGATTATAGATTCTTGGAAGTCTGGCAACACTGTTTTTACTTCGTGTCATGAAACGTGAGACGACTAGGGATGACAGTTTTATCCGTGATGCTCAATTCTCTCAGCAACCCACACCGAATGGGGAAAGCATGGGGTTGGGGACGACAATCTTTTTTCTTCCAAATAAGGTTGGGGTATGGGGGTGCAGATTGAGGTCCCTGCCCCATACCCGTCCTCATCCCCATCCCTGTTCCCCATCTGGTTTTTTATTTTATATCATATTCTGTTTAACTGGATTTTGCTATCAAAATTTGTAGAAAGGGATATAACCTTAATTACTATCATGCATTTCACAATGGAAAGGGGACTGATAATACTTTGTGGCATATTTCTTCCTCCTTTTATTTTTGCCCTTCCTTTATTCACCCACAAACAAATCATCTGAAATGTATATATCTTATTTCTTCCGCAGGCTATCTTTAAGCCTCCAAAAGCAATTCGTGGGGGAATCCCGTTATGCTTTCCGCAAGTATGTACTCCTTTCTGATGGTCTTTCCTGCTTTATTTGATTGTTCATCCTCGTGAAGGGAACTTGTACGTTGTTTATGCAGTTTTCAAATCTTGGGCCTCTTGATGCACATGGATTTGCTAGAAACAGATTTTGGAGCATTGACTCTGATCCATCTCCGTTCCCAACAAATAGCCCCAATAAAGTTTCTGTTGACCTGATCCTTAAGCCTACTGAAGAAGATATGAAGACCTGGCCTCACAGGTGAATACTGGGAAATATGTTGATTTATTATTTGTTAAGGCATTGGAGGAAGATTCTAATTGGAATCTATGTAACTTCTTTTTTTTTGTCAACTTTAACTATAAGGTTTCTTTTACTTGATTTCATGTTCAACTGAAGTTATGAGTTCCGGCTGCGGGTAGCTTTGGGACCCGGAGGAGATCTGACATTGATATCCCGCATCAGGAATACCAACACCGATGGGAAGCCGTTCACATTCACATTTGCATATCACACTTACTTCGCTGTTTCAGATATCAGGTTTTTCATCCACTTGATCTTGTTAGACATGCTATTTATTTAGCCTCTAAATAAACCAAACGAGTAAAGGGACTCCAAAATTGATAGCTTTTCATCTCATTTTCTGCCTTAAATAATCCTGAATTTGTGAGCATAGTATAGGTATCATTGTTGTAGGTGTTGGAACTTTTCTTTCACTCCATAAGTGATCAGAGTATGACGCATAAACATATCTTGTCCGTCTATGGTTGACTATGCTGCATTGTGGCAGAATGTGTGACTGAAATAGCATAATCATTTAAAATGTACTTGGTCGCATCGTTATGAAAATAACTTTGAAGACAAGCTTAGAAAATGGGTAAAATTAAAACACTTTTTAACTGATGAGCATGTGATATTCTGCAAAGGTAGCCGTACTGGAAGGTGTGGCTGGATTGCCTCCTTTTCAGTGAGAGGTAATGCTTGTTGGGTATTTTGTAAAGAGGTTGCATGCAATACAGAGGATGCAATTATAAAAGTGTGGTTCGCTCCTCGTATAATGAATATAGATGCATGTCTATGTTTATGTAAACTCTATAAACCTAATTAAAATATTTAAAATGATAAGATTATCACATAAACATTTAAAGCTAATCAGATCTTATTAACTGCGAATTGTGCAATATGACAGTCAGAAAAGAAAAACCATTGTTTACCATCCATGCTTGCCCTCAATTTAAATGCCATATCATGTAATATACAGTTTAAAGGAGGACAACAGTTCTGGATGGTATTGAAATTTTCTTTGTGCTTCTGTTCAGTGAAGTTCGCGTAGAAGGATTGGAAACCTTGGATTATCTTGACAACTTGCAGAGCAGGAAACGTTGCACTGAACAAGGCGATGCTATAACATTTGAGTCAGAGGTAAGTTGAAGTCTCTCTCAATTTCTGTGTTTATTAGTTTTGTTAATTTTTCACTTTATTTTCCTAATAATAATTAGGTGGACAAGATATATCTGAGCACTCCTACAAAGATTGCAATTCTGGATCATGAGAAGAAGAGAACATTTGTAATACGCAAAGATGGTCTTCCAGATGCTGGTTAGGATTAATATGTTCAATCTTTCATATTGGAGTTATTCCTGCTGCAGTCTATTTTCTTTATTTTTAAAATTTCCGGAGTCCTGACTGAAGCTTATATAGTGGCTTTATCATAACTAACAAGAGAACAGAGTGAATTGCTCTATCCTATGACTCCCGAGATAACTAGGATTAATGGAGAGAACTCTTGTTCTTTCTTCGTTCTTTTCAAAATATTAACCTCATTGGTTTAAATGTTATTGTTCTATGATTTGATTAATTTAAAAGTTGATAGTGAAGATTTTTTTTAAATTTATCAACATCCACTGTCTTCAGCCATGTTTTACACTATCATATCTTTCCTAAATCTAAAACCAGTTTTATTAGGTCTTTATGTTGATTAAGTCACTCTAATGATCTTCGTCGAATATATCCAAGTTCCACAGCTGGTTCTCTCATTTGATTCTTGGTTAATAGAAGTGAGGTGTTTTTTGTTGCTAAGAGTTATAATGTGAAATACCTGCCCTCGTAGTGTTCATTGGGATCGTATTCTGTACTGTGTAGTGATTTAAATTTTTTTCCCCATTCAGTTGTATGGAATCCCTGGGATAAGAAGGCGAAGGCTTTGACTGACTTTGGAGATGATGAATACAAGCATATGCTGTGTGTGGAGGCTGCTGCTATTGAGAAACCTGTAACATTGAAACCTGGAGAGGAGTGGAGAGGAAGGCAGGAGCTTTCAGCTGTTCCTTCCAGTTACTGCAGCGGGCAACTTGATCCCCGAAAGGTTCTTCAGGGAAGCTGAAAGTTCCATCATTCTGGCCTATACTTTGTACAGGTATGTGTGCCGAGAGTTCAAACTAGTAAATATCTAATCATACATCTGGTGCTGGCCTTTCACTTCACCACGAATTGTCTGATGCATCAAGTAGACCTAACTTGTAAATTCAAAACGTAAGCATTACAATGAATTCATAATTGTCTTTCTAAGATGCCTATACTCGTTTTTGGTTGTTTCATTTTCTGATTGAACAGTCGCTATTTTGCATGATCAGCTCGTGTTTTACTATTTGGTAACAAAAATATGAGCTCGTATGTACTTTTTTTTTTTTCTTTCTAATGAACTAATTGTATCTGCTTCTATTTTTCTCCAATGATTGTTAGTAAGCAAAACAAAGGGGAAATTGACTACTAATAGTTTCTTTTCAAAGGAGGCAGCCAAACCTTTAGGGCTCGTTTGGTACACATGATAAAATTGGAATGGATAGCTTATTAAACTAAAGGTATTTTGAAGGGAGAAATTATAAAATTATGACGAGGATAGAAGATGAATTACTCATGAAGAAACTTATTAACGGAAACTAAAGGGATGTCGATGCATCATTTAGTTTGGAATGTGATTTGGCTTATGGGTAATGGTTATGGAGTAGATTGTTATGGTAGCAGGGGGTTTGGGTATTTGTTCAATCAACTCAAATTCTCAGAATAGCTTTTCGAGGATTCGGGAATACCGACGGGTTGGTTTCATGGACGTGAACTGTTAAAATAGATGTTGTCGTTTGTTTTAATTAGTATGATTTCAAATATTGTTGGTGATAGTCTAATAGATCTTTCGTTCTGCAGGTATGCTGTTGCACATGTACATCGGTCGGGAAAACAAATTCAGCCCGCTATTTTCGCTCCGAGAATTTTACTGTGTTGGGTGAAATGATCGATTCATGAGTACATATGACTCGATATAATATGTTTTTTTTTTAAGTCGATGAAGTTTTTTTTATTTTTTTATTTTTGGTGTGGAAGGAAATTAACTCGAGTGGAAATGGTCGACACTTGGTCCGGTGGATGAGAGACTGTACGTGTTTTTGTTAAACGAAATGTCAGTGAATGTTATTTTCGATTTAGATTCGATTTGATTTGGTTTACGGTAATTCCTTCTTATCTTAAAATAATATGTAGAGGTGGTACTGCATCTCCTTTTTCTATTGACAAAATATAGCGAGATGAAATTCTAACATATAGTAGCAAAAAATATAGCAATTTTTGCGAAGATTCGTGTGAGGGATAAATCCAGATGATATTTCTATCCATTAGATCTAGCAGTAGGCCCATGTAGACCTGGTAAATCAGTCCATAACAGGGAATTCGATAACAATTCTTTTTGTTAGCGAGTTGTGTGTTTTGTATTGAGTTAAAGGGTCATGTAAGAATTTATCAGGCCTAATGTCTTGACTTGGCAAATTGGTTGTGTTTGTGTCATACTTGTTATATTTTCGGGTTTTTAACTGGTGACTCGATAACAATATAACTTATTAATGAGTTTATAACGGATGACATGATAACGACATGATTAGTTAATAGGTTGTCTTGAAACTTGTTATTTTTGTGTTATGTTAACAGAGTGTGCAAGAAATTGCTGGGTCTAGGCTCATGATCGACTGCACTATGGTTGCATATTGAGGGGCTTGCCAGTCAAGAATCAACCTTAATTATCGTTCATGTAAAATAAAATAAAAAATCTGTCCGAGCATCTCAAATGACATAGGTAAATGCGTACTCAAATTCGTGTTGATGAGTTACATGGTATAACTTTGCTCCAATAGTGTAGGCTATCGAGTAGGCAATTTTGTTTATTATTATTCATATTAAGTAGGCAATATTGTCTACACATTTAATAGACAAATTGGGTCTCACATCTCTTTTCGCAATAAAATACTCTTTGTGGTCCCTCAATTAGATTGTGCTGTATTGTTTTTGTTAGGAACAAGGGATGAAAATAACTAATCTAATACAATTTTGCAAACTTGGGTTGCCTAATTCATTGGAGTGATCAAGTTTCCATGAGGAAAAATGAGTAGGAAACATGCCACATAACCCTATATGGTACACTTTTGTCTACTTTGACAAAGGTTCAGGGCCGAAGGGGTAGAGGAAGACCTAGGAAAACTGAGGAAGAGACTCTAAGAAAAGACTTAGAGTACTTGGATCTAACGGAGAACATGACACAGAACCGAGTGCAATGGCGTTCTAGGATTCATATAACCGACCCCATTTAGTGGGAAAGGCTTTGTTGTTGTTGTTTGTCTACACTATTAGAGATTGACACGTCCCAACCCAGATGTCCAAATGACACCTGGATAACACACATTGACTGACACCCAAGGATGACGAAAGCCATGAATAAATGAATATGCGAAAATATGAGAGGATAAGTAAACCAGAAAACATGCAACAACAATAATAACAAGGAATTTGCAAACATTAAGAGGCAAAAATAATAATAATTCAATTTAAACATGTAAGAACAGAGTATCCAACGTTCACAAATCTGAATAAAAATGTACGAATGTATCTAAAGCATACCACAAACGAAAGTGCTAGAGAAAGGTAAAATAACAAGTGACAAATGATCATAAACGGAAGTCATACTCGAGTGGAAGGATGCAAGGTCACTGGTAGGGAAATGCCTCGATGCTCGGGTCTTACTGAACGTACTAAACCCTTGTTTTGAAAACACATATATATAATGCTACATAGTAGTTTTCCGAAAACTCTACATGCCATGAAAACGTTCATAAAATCAGAACGTATAAAACCTTGGTCAGAAATGAATATAACTGCCTGAAGGCAAATCTATAAAAACCTTCATAAATCCCATTAATGTTGTACTCTCTAGGGATATTATAGTCCCTCGAAGGCAGTACCTGCCCATCACCCGAAGGTGAAGTTGTATGACACTGGGTTACGCCAGTGAAGAAACATGGTAGGTTGAAGTTGTACGAGTTCGGGTTACGCTGGAGAAGAAATATATAACATCACACACCGACACTAGCTCCAGGCTAGTGAAGCTGGGAGTATGTCATCAATCTCATCAACTCCTCATTCGCCTGAAGGCAATACCTGTCCATCACCCGAAGGTGAAGATGTACGATACTGGGTTACACCAATGAAGAAACATAGTAGGCCCCATCACCCGAAGGTGAAGCTGTACGACTCTGGGTTATGCCAGTGAAGAAACATGGTAGGCCTCATCACCCGAAGGTGAAATTGTACGACTTCGGGTTACGCTAGAGAAGAAATATATACATAATATCCTCAATTGTGTCCTATGGCCATAGACATCTACATACCCAGGTTGTGTGGATGTGTTGTATGATAGCCCGCTAGATAAGTATCGAAAACATACCTCAAAAACTCATCAAATCCGAAGCTCACAAGCTCAAAGTCTCATTTCATAAATCCAAGATAATTCACATTCGTAAATCCATGGAATTTCAAAAGCGAAAACCCAGTATTTCATAACCTTTAGTAAAATGTAAATTCGATAAATCATAAATATCTCGTAAACCATAAATGTAGAAATCCGGAAAATATAATATAAAACATATTCGATGCATGAAATATGAAATGCATGCAAGCCTAATATTTCATAAAAACATGCAAGTTTAGAAGGGGTCCACTCATAAGTATTCCACTACCGGTGAGCCGCTTGAATTAGGGATGACTGGATCACTTCTAACTGATGCACCTAAACACAAATGAAGACCATTTAGTAAAACTCTACTAAAACGATGGAATTTGGAAAAATGGACATGGATTCGGATTCGGCACGTTGAAAAACCTAAAGAGGGACCTCGGGTTCCCCCACGCATTGCCAGACGTGGCGGCAGCCTAGAAGGCTATGCGCTGTCACATATGCTGAGATGGGTTGCTGGAAAGTTCGTCCAAAAAAGTCGCCGGCGCTGTCATGGATGACGGCGGAGCATAGTACCTCCGGTGGAGACGCGTATGCTCTATGTGCCAGCCATGACCCTCACCCACATGCAAGCCACGCGCCAGCCCAAGAAGTTGGGTTTTGGTACAGGTCAGATCAGGGTTTGGGCCTGGGTTCTGGGTAACTAGATTGGGCCAGTTCTCAATTAGGGTTTTGAGCCTGGGTTATTGGGTTTGGTTTAGGCCTGGCTCTGGTTTGGGCTTGGGCTGGGTTTAGAGTTGGGTTGTGGGTCACAAGTCGGGATGACTCAGTTTTAGGCTATGGATTCGATCAGAATCTAGGCAATATTTCTCGAGCTCCATTCTACACCATTTGCAATGATTCAAAAGTCATAATGAAGTTTGGCACTAGGAGAAGAGATTCGTGCTGTTTTGGAGTTGTGTCATGATCGGAATTGGCTGGAAATTAGCTCGAAAGCTGACGGACCTCACCAGAAAATACGTAAAGGAGTTTTCGAGATATATCTGCGTTCAAAAACCACAAAGACTACTAAAAATTTCCTTAACTTACTCCTAAACACGATCTACAAGGATTTAGAGTTGTTAACAAGCTTACCTCGTCGGAAAACGGCGAGAACTCGTTGGATCAACGCTTAGCACATTGAACATACTGTGCAACAAGGGAGAGAGAAAAAACAAGGGATATCTCTGCGTTTAAGGTTTGTAGGACTCGTATGAGAGGAAGTGATGGTGGTGTGTTGGTCGTTGGAAGGAAAAAAGGGCTAGAGATGGTGTCGGTGGTGGAAAGATGAGAGGGAAATAGTGGTGAGGAAGAGAGAATTTTAGAGTGAGAGAGAGATCATAGGAGGGGAAAGAAAAAGGGCACCAGAAATAAGGTGCCATGTAGAGGCCCAAAGTGGAGAAATATCTCCACTTGTGAAATTACCAAAATGCTCTTATCATTCAAAAATTGTAGGAGTTTCATTTTAGCTCCGAATTTGATTCCGATCGTACCTACGTGTTCGTATTAATGAGAGCTACCGAAATAAAATAAACGGAAAATTCTAATACATTAACGGACGAAAGTCAACGGAGGTCAACCTTTTCATCATTAGGGGTATTTTTGTAATTTTAACTAAATAAAATGAAATTTTCGAAGCGGGTCATTACAGAGATGCTGGAAATTGAATAGATTAACTCGTTTTAATGAGTCATGTAGGCAAAATTAACTCCAATGGTGTAGTCAAATTTTGCGCACTCTCCTAATATCAGTGATGTTGCCTACTTCAACATGAGTAAAAAAATCGAGCCCTCTCTTTTTAATAAAATGCAAGCACACTTCTCTTAAATAATAGTATAGAATTTTTTTGTAGAGAAATATGACATACACCTTAACTGGTAACAATGGTCACCACTTCATTAATCATCGTTAAATGAGTTTAAGTTTTGAGATCTGAGTAGTAGATATATTAAATCAAACTCATCCAACAATAATCAGTGGGGTGGTGATTAAATATCAGAAGAAATAATAAAATAGGACTTTACCTATTTGGTCACCCCTAGTCAATTTTGCCTATTTTAGCAAGTGGTGGATTTTCTTTTAGGCTATTGGGTAAGGCCTTCATCTTCAATCCACCATGTCCGGGTTCGAACTTTGTTGCCTCCCCTTAGTATAAACTAGCCTTTTAGCACCACACTAAAAAGTAGGGGTGGGCATAAAAATCATGGAACCAAGAAACCGAATCGAACCGGGAGTAAAAACAGACAAAAGCTGTATTGACCGAAAAAGTCAACTTAGGTTAAAAAATCAAACTGAACTGGTTCATACCCAATTTCGATTTCAATTTTCATTTTGGCCGAACCGCCTAGAACCAAACCAAACCATTTCATATATAAGCCCAAAAGAAATTTAATTAAAAATCCAAGTTCAAAAGTCAATAACTAACCGTTATTATTATTTTTTTGGGTCTCATCTCTTCCTCTTTTTTTTCTTCCTCAAATGATATATTTTGTTAAGTTATCTATTAGATTAGCCACTAACGAAATTCGAACCCACACCGTTATGCAAGGGCTCAACACCTTTATGTTAATTATTAGCACGTGAGCCACACATATTAGGCTAAAACAAAACTCTTCATCAATTGTTAGCACTTAGGGCTTACATGTGAGGCTAATTTTATCTTTATAGTTTCACATGTGAGCCTCATGGAGTAAAAATTAACAGAGAGTTGAATTT